GAAAGGGCTGGAGGGAGGCAGCATGTCTGGCCTTGCAGTAATAGGCCTTGGTTTACTGCTGGTAATCCTGCCTTCCCCTTGTAGGGTTAGAGGAGGTCAGAACATGGGGCCTCCTTGCCGTTTTTGCACCTCAACATACAGAAAACAAAAATCCTCACAACTGAACCAATAAGCAACATCATGATAAATGGAGAAAAGAAAGAAGTTGTCAAAAATTTCATTTTACTTGAATCAACACCTATGGAAGCAGCAATCAAGAAATAAAATGAAGTATATATAGCATTGGGAAAATCTACTATAAAAGACCTCTTTAAAGTGTTTAAGAGCAAAGATCACTTTTAAGACAAAAGTGCGCATGACACCAGCCACAGTATTTTTAATAGCCTGATATGCATGTGAGGGCTGGGCAATGAATAAAGGAAACGAAAGAGTAACTGATGCATTTGAACTGTGGTGTTGGTTAAAAATACTGAATGTACCACGGGTAACAGAAGAATTAACAAATCTGTCTTGGAGGAAGTACAGCCAGAATGCTGTTTAGAAATGAAAATGGCCAGACTTCATCTCTCATACTTTGGTCATTGCTAAAGGGGCAGGGAGGTGGCATCTTCTGACCTCCGATTACTCCACAAGAACACCATCAGCAGCCCAAGGCCTATTCCAACGAGGCCAGACATGCTGCCACCCTCCAGGCCTCTTAACAACCTTGACTCCATCCATCCTGTGGCACCTACCACCTCTCTGTTGGGTTTGATAACTCACTGCAGTGGCCACACAAAACTCACAGATTAAGGGGTTTATTAGGAAAGCAACAGGCTACAATTCAAGTTCAAGAACACACTAGGATACAGTTCTTCAGTAAGGACAATCTCCCCTCTGCTGCACCCTTATATACACCTCTCTGGCCCTTGGCCTCTCAGCCTGGAATCTGCCTCTGTGAGCCAGGTAAGCCTGCTGCTCTGTCTCATGCTTCTTGCTTCCACTGGTGCCATCTCTCAGCCAGGCATCTCTCTCTCTCTCAGTTGCACGTCTCAATCTCTCAGCTGTGTGGGTCTCTCTCTCTCTCAGTCACACACGTCTTTCTCGCTCTTTCAGCAGCATATCTCTCTCAGCCAGTAGACAGAGAGATTCCTTCTGCCTCTAAGAGGGCTCATTCTGAGCCTGGCAGAGTGGCAAAACCAACCAATCCCAATGTTGGAGTTCTACACACCTGAGAGAGAAGTGAACTTTCCCAGAAAATTACTTCATGCTGCCACAGGTGGATGGCTTTAACAAGAAGCTACTCAGCTGCTCATGGTTAAGTGGGAGTTACAAAGACTATGGCTAGAAAAGCCATACCATGCAATTTACTATACCACACTCATGGTGTCAGAAGGGACCAGTCCCTGGAGGAGGATATCATGCTGGATAAAGTAGAGAGACAGCAGAAAAGGGGAAGACACTCAGTAAGATAGACACAATGGCTGTGATGATGGGCTTAAGCACAGCAATGTCACTATGAGTTGAAACTGACTTGACAGCACCTAACAACAATTCTGAGACACATCCATCCTACATCAGCTCCATGGAGCATCTGGGTTTGTTTTCCTACCAACAGTCAGGCCTGGGCAAGTGCAGCCCCAAGTGAGAGAGCATTCCCTAAGGAAAGATGGGTGCAGTGAAGGGGAAAGGGAAAAGCCAGCCTGTGGTAGTTAAATTTGTGTGTCAACTTGTCAACTTGGCTGGGCATGGTTGAGTGGCTGGGCAGCTGAAAGTAGTATTCCCCAGGATGAGACTGGTAATCAACTCCATGGTGGAATCTACTGTGAGCAGCTTAGTAGCTGCCTTAGGGATGTGGTCTTCTTCCTGTATATAAGGAGAAGCCTTGGGGAACAGTCTCTAGCTTATGGCATGCCTGAACCCTGCATGTAGCCGTGTCACTGTTCAGCAGCCTGCCATGCTTTGCCAACCTTGGAACTTTCAATGGACTTGAATTAATGGCCTGCTGTGTGGTTTGGTAACTTCAGAACTGTGCCTTTTTACTTGTCAACCTTGGGCTTGTCAGTCTCAGCAGCCAGCAGCTAAGTAAAGAAAAAGCCTCTAGTTCCAGTAGGCTGGGAGCAGGAGACAAAGCTGAAATCCAAGGTTGAGGGGCTTTCACCTAGTCCCTAGAGCCTGGCACTTTGAACTTGGACTTAATGCCTCCAAACTGTAAGAGAATAAACTCCTGTTTGTTAAAGCCATCCCATTTGTGGTATATTCTTGTCAGAGCAGTATTAGGTAAACAAAACACAGCCTGAAACATCCCTGTGAGCAGCAGACTGGACCCTAGAGTTGCTGACTGAACTACTGCCCAAGAAGCAGTCCTCTTTGCCCATGCCTTTTGTCCCAGTCTCATCACCTAGCCTGTGTGGGCACTGGTTGCCTGTGGAACCTGCTTTGACCAATGAATGAGACAGCAGCACATAAAATAAAAACAAAGGTTTTAAAAATGTCATGTGCCTCTCCTTCTCGATCCTTTACTTCCACCAAAGTGACACCTGCTAGAAGATGAGAGAGCACATGGAACAGAGAAAACATCCCAGCTGAGCCATGCTGGGTGAGGTGCTATACCAGACACATGAGCCTAGCCTGGCTCACAGAGTTACTTCCTACCCTGAGGTCCTGAGCAATCATAAATACCGCTTTTTTCAGGCACAGAAAGCTGGGAGGTGGGTTACATAGCAATGCTGTGGCAACAGACCACAGCCCTGTCCCTTTGCCTTACCTCCTTCAGCTCCTGAGCCACTGAGGTAAGCCGCTCATTCTCTGACTGGGTGTTGGTAAGGATGTTGCGCAGCTGCTTCAGCTCTGTCTGTAGCTCCAGCACCTTCCTTACGTAGTATTGTTCCTTGGAGGCCGACTCCTGGATCAGACTCTCTTCCCTGCTCTCACCATCTGCTGCCACCTTCTTGTGGTTCGTGTGCGCCTGTCCAAATGCCTGAGTTGGGAGACACAGACATAGATGAGAAAAGTGTCCTGGAGCCACAGGGCAAACACCACCCAAACTGATAATTCCTGAGGTTCACAACCCACATGCTGACCCATGGACACCATGCCAAACAAGACAAACTGTCATGAGAGCACAACCTGATGCTGCACAACTGCAAAGACGAAAAAGCCAAGAAACAGCTGAAGGAAATCAGAGTGTGGTACCTAGGGGCAGGGTAGGTTGGGGAGAGGGCTTAAGTGGGAGTGGGCAAAAGGACCCTGGTAGGCTGGAGGGGGTTATGCAGGTATGTACAATGTAAACTCCACTGAGCACAAATGAGGTTAATGTGATTAACTGTAATAAAAGATAAACTTAAAATATTTAAAAAAAAACAGTATCTGAGCAACATTTTGTGCCCAAAGGAGTGACTGCTGAGGCTGGGCCTCACCCCTACCTGGCACTGTTCACTCCCTTGCACTCCTCCTCAAGGTAGGCACCATCACTTAGAGGGTGTCAACAGAGCCTGCCAGCAACCTACTAGGGCTCATCCTTGCTTCATTCATGCAATCACATCCAGTTAGCTCATCTGTGACCCAGGCCCTGGACTGCTGCTGAGTGCAGGTGGTGAACCAGAGTCTGATGCAGTAGGCCCAGCCTTACAGAGCCAAGCTCACCTGCTCTAAAGTACCATCTTGAATGCAAGGCCCATGCCCTGCCCAGGCCAGTGGTCCATGCAGAAGAGTCTCTGCCCTCTGCCTGAAGAAGACTCTTGTTCCCCAATTCTACTCCCAGTTCCTAGTTTTTACCTGGTGCTCTGCAAAGCTGCCCTTCCTCAGGCTTGTGGCAAACCAGAGTCTATGAGACAAACCAGAGGCTGAGTGGAGAAATGACTACCAGGGACTGATGCATAGCCCATCCTCTCTGCCCTGGGAGTCCTGTGGGTTTGCTGAATCCTCCCATTCCACCGATGAGGAAACAAGCCCAGAGTGTGCCCTAGCCCATCATGATAACCCACAGGTAGAGGCAGAGGAGTCAGTCCTTTCTCTAATCTCTATTCTCTTGTCTCTTTACAAGGGTCCTGATTCAAAGAAGGAAAACAAAATCAAGAGAGGGCTACTGAAAAGCAAAGTCAAGGAAGGGTTTCTGAAGAACTAGGAAAACGAATACCTTTTTTTTTTTTCTTTTTCTTTAGAGAAATAGTAATTTTACTGATTCACTTTTTAATGTTAAGTTTAGAAATTTAGTACAAGAAAATAATGATGGGTAGATATGTACAAGGATGTTTACTGAGCAGGGCTGTTTATTATTCAAAAAAGAAAGGAAGAAAGAAACTCATTTCTCCCTAAATAGGGAACTGGTTAAGCAAATCAGGGCCTTGTCTAAACAGAATCCCAACAAGCTGCTAAAGCGCTTAAGAAGCCCAGTCCTTTGCAGGGAATCTGGGACACACAAAGATGCAAAAGACTTCATGTGACAACACGTGTCCTGGAGTTCCACTTCAAAGAGCACGTATGTATGCAATGTATGAAATGGTGTTAGTGGAGGAAAAGCTCCTTGAGCAAAAAGAATTTGGAAAACACCCTTCACAGTGCTGACTGCATTTGAAGTTGGGAGCCAGAGGGAAGGCTGCTCCAAGTGTGCACCAGATCACCCCTCCCTTGGCGTGGCTCATCTGCTGAAGGCCTGTGTCACCCACACTACTCTCCCTGTTCCAGGCAGAACCAAGGCTTGTGCTAGGCTTTCCTCCTAATCAATATAATGCCTATTCTGTGAAAGATGGTAGGAAAAACTCTTTCTTTTCAAACCAAATCAGTTCAACTCTATAATTCAACTCTATAATTTCTGTTGCTGTTGTTCTCATCCTTCCTCCTGGTCCCAGTGGGAAGACCAAATCTCAAACTGTCAAATGCACACAACACCTGTCCTACCCTGGGCCCGTCTCCCAAGGAAGATAAGGGCAACCCTAGTGCTGAGGCTGACCATGAGCTGGGACTCCTGGCCCTGAACAGCAGGCTGATTTCAGCATCTATTCCAAGGTCCTTGTTCCATGGTGAGTAAACAGACAAGCAGTCATTTTTGTTTACCAGCCAATGAGCAACGAGAGGGTCTGCAGTACTTTTGGAGAGTACATGATAGAGTAGACCTCAGCCACCAAAGAGAACCCACTGTGGCCAGCAGAAACCAACATCAAACACTCAAAAAATCCTTCTAACAGCTGAACATGCAGATTTTGTATGTAAATGATGAGTCATAGAAGGTGTGACACCTAGAAGCTGTGAAGTACAGTTCCTGTCTAGGCCTGCCCATCTCTACCCAGAATCCTTGCATCTGCCCACACTTCCAGCCTGGGCATCCTAGACAGCTCTTCAAAAACAACTGAAGTGGAGAATTCTGCTTCCAGTCAAGTAACAGGAACTAGATTTACCTCCTGTGTGAAACTTGAAAAACTGTATGAATAAACAATGGTTTTTAAATCACTGGATATCAGGTAACGAAAAACAGTGACCCTGACAGGCAGTAAAGTGGAGAACTCCACAACAGCCCCCACTCACCCCTGGAAGGAATTTCCCGCCATGGGACAAAAATGGAGAACCAAGGTATTACCCAGCAGCCTCTCTGGGAAACCAAGGCAGACAAGGCAGTATAGGCTCAAGAACTGCAGACAAAAGACAGTTGAGGAATGGTCAGTGCAGGTTTGTGAAGAAATCATCTCAAGCTAGGAAACCACCACCCAGAAGGTATCTGAGAACATACCCATCATTCACACATAACCCCCAAGAAACATCTCCTACTCCCACTAGATGAAAGGAAATATCTAATAATCCACAAAGCGGCAGGTTAAGTACTCAGAGGAGTTTGAGAAAATTAGACCTAGATTAAATGCTGCTCTGGTCCCACCTAACAAAGCTTACAAGTCAACTGGAAAGGATTGGATTATTACCCAATAACTTAACTACATCCGAGAACAAAGCTCATGTAGAAACACAAAGGTATCCAGCTCCCAACAAGTTAAAATTCACAAAGCCAACCACTAATATCCTATCACTAATTACTCAGGAAGCAAAGAAACTAGAACAGCAATCTATAAAGGAGAGGGGAGAAAAAAATCAATCAAAACTCAAAATGACAGTGGCAAAATTAATAGTCACAGACATTAAACCAGTTATAACAGAATTCTACAAGAAACTAGAGGACAAACTGAACATGTTAAGTAGAGACATATAAGATATTTAAAAAGACCCAAATTGAACTTCTAGAGATGAAACTCACAATGTATGGGATGAAAAATATACTGGATGGTATAAACAGCACATTACACCACGTACAAAAAATGAATGAATGTGAAGACAGCAATACAACCACCCACAGGAAAAAAAATGGCTTAAAAAAAAATGAATAGAATTATCAGTGACATGTGGGATGACTTCAAAGAGCCTAATTCATGGGTAACTCAAGTCCCTGAGGGAGCAAAGAGGAGGAAGATATTTGAGGAAATAATGGCTAAAGATTTTCCAAAGTTGATGAAAATTAAAATCTGCAAAAAACTAGCAACTATATCACTGTTAACCACTTGGAGGGGGATCTATGCAGGAGATCCTGAATAGAGAGGGAGAACAATGTAGAACAAAACTCAAAATCATTTGGGGGAAAACAAAAGAGGGGGGGGACCAGGTTTGCTGGTCTGATAGAGTCTAGTAGAACCACTATGGCCCCTAGTTGCCCTTCAGGTCTGGAATTGAACCCACACCTGTGGCTTCCAGCCAAACAAAAGACAGGTATATGAGCTGAACATTTACCTGAGGTAGATACACTCCTTGGAGAGAACAATCATGAGAGAAAGAAGGGCTGTTTAAGCACAGGGAGACAGCTCAAGAGGCAGGAGTGCATGGAGGGATGGACACAGGGAACAGGTAACTATCGGGAGGAAGTAGGAGGGGAGCTGATGCGTTGGGGTAAACTGTGGTCAATGTCATGAGACAAACTGTATGTGAACCGCTATATGGAAAGTGAATTTGCTCTATAAATTTTCACCCAAATCACAATTTAAAAAAAAAAAGCTAGCAACTAAGCTATTTACACCACGGTAAATCATGAAACTGTTTAAAATCGATGCAGAGAAAATCTTAAAAGCAGCCAGAGGAAAAAGGATACATCACTTCTAAAAGAGAAAAGGTAAGGATGACAACGAATTTCTTATCAGAAAACAAACCAGAGAATGACAAAGTTTTCTTTCTTTCTTTCTCTCTCTCTCTTCCTCTCTCCCCCTCCCCCCTCTCTTTCTTTTGGGGAGGGCACAATCTGTTAACATAGCTCCACAAACAAAGGCGAAATAGACATAAAAAAGAACAAAGAATTCATTACCAGCAGGAGTGCATTACAAGATATGTTAAAGGAAATCTTTCAGGCAGAAGAAAACTGATACCAGATGGAAATCTGGATGTACAAAAAAAGAATGAAAACCATTAGAAATGATAACTATGTAGATAAATAGAAAATACTTGGTTTTCTTATTATTTAAATTTCTTTAAAAGATCATGAAGAGCTGAGATTCAAAGCAACCACTATCAAAATTCCAATAGCTCTATTTGCAGAAATTAAAAACTGATCTTCAAATTCATATAGAATTGCAGAGGCCTTGAACAGCCAAAACAATGCTGAAAAGGTGAATAAGGTTGGAGGACTCAGCTTACTGATTTCAAAAATTACTACAAAACTACAGTAATCAAAATAGTGTGGTTCTAGCATAAGAAAAGATATACAGACCAATGGAACAGAATTGAGAGTGCAAAAATAAACCCATATGTTTAAGGCCAAATGATTTTTGCTATGCGTGCCAAGATGACTCAATAAGGGAAGAACAGTCTCATCAATAAATGGTGCTGGGACAACTGAACCCAGACGCAAAAGGATGAAGTTGATCCACACTAGACAACATATAAAAAACTCAAAATGGATCAACAAACTAAATATAAGGGTTACAAACAAATTGTTAGAAGAAAACACAGGGG